TGTACATGCATATGCTTACGTTTGTTCATTTGAATATCATGGGGCTGAATGAATAGCAGTCAGTTCATTAAGGTTTGCCTATTGGTGCTTTAAAGAAAAACAGAAAAACAACACTGATGATTCATTTTTATGGAAAAGGAAGTTTAAATTTTTATTTTTAGTGTTAGATTAGGTACTATTGCATTTTAAATTCCTCTGAACACTGTCAAGGAATGCAATATGTCAAATTTGTTTTTAGACTGCAGAACCTTTCTTTTGAGACACTTGATCTTTGTAAGCACTAAAGTTTGCCGCGTATTCCCTTTTTTCAGACAAAAGGGAATGACATCTTGAGATTTATGACTTCTCAAGCTATATTTTCAAAAAAAAATTATTGGGTCAATATCTTTAGCAATTGTTTTGGGTTTTTTTTTAGTTATTGTCAGATTTTTCATTCCCATGTGTATGTCTGTCTTCACGTTTTGTAAGATTTCTTTATCTCTTTGTGTGGTATTAGCTTGATTCTTTAGGCAATAGCACAGTGGTTAAGACAGCATACTCTGAAATTCCACTGCCTAAGTTCAAATACTTATTTCACCATTTAATTGTGTGACTTTTAGCAAGTTCTTTAACCTTTCTCTCTCAGTTGCCTCACTTATAAAATGGGGATAATAATAATACCTATCTCACATGCTTTTATTGAAAAATGAATGAAGTAATTCACATAAACACAACTGGCAGAGTGTCTTTTTCCTGGTTTTAAGCTAGCTGTCTTCTCATTTTTTTCCTTCTGTTCCAAAAGCCCCAGGGTCCTGCTTCCCTCCCTACTGCTACCACATAGTCCTTTTAAGTTAAGATTTCTCATTTCCCTGGCCTGCTATGGAATAGAATTCGTTCTGAGAAATATTTCCTTCCCTTGTAGTACCTGAGGCAAAAGTACTCAACCAGTCTTTTGAGACTGAGTTTATTTTATTTTGTTTTTGAATGTTAAAAATAGTGGAGGAAACTAACAAGATAAAAATAGTAAATAAACAAGGGTGATATTATCAAGTTTCCAAAAATTTGTAATAAAATGAGTTCCCATTTCTCAGATCTTAAGTGCGGCCAGTCCTTGATTTTTCTTTAACTCCACAAATGTGTTAGTCATTTCTTTGTGAATATTTATGCTAATTCTTCTCTCTCCAATTATTTCTTCTCTGTGACCTAGGATCACTTATTCTCCAACTTTTTTAAACATTGGAGCTCATGTGCTTGGGACCCCTTCCATGTTTAAAGAAGGCTCCTTTCTCCTTCCCTCTTAATTTTTTTTTCAGCTTTATTGAGATATAATCGACATATAACTGTGTAAGTTTAAGAAGTACAATGTAAAGATTTGATATATGTATATATGGCAAAGTGATCACCACAGTAAGTTTCCTTACTACATCCATCACCTCACACAGTTACAATTTTTTTGTGTAGTGAGAACTTTTAAAATCTATTCTCTTAAAACTTTCAGATACAATACAGTATTGTTAACTATAGTCACTGTGTTGTACATTACATCCCCATCATCTTATAACTGGAAGTTTGTACCCTTTGACTACCTTCACCCATTTCCTGCCCCCCACCCCAGCCCTGGCAACCATGGATCTGCTCTGATGGTATGACTGTTTTTTAGATTCCACATCTAAGTGAGATGATACAGTATTTGTCTTTCTTTGTCTGACTTATTTCACTGAGCATAATACCCTCAAGGTCCATTCTTAATTTTTTTCTTAAGACCACAGCATGGCTAATGAATGTTTAGAAACACAAAGTAAGATTCATCTATAGTTTAGTTTAAAAATTTCAATAAGTATAACCTAGTGTTCCTTTTGTGGGCAGTTTATCATAGTAACAAGGGTGGGTAGGCCCACTGAAGTTAGGACCAAGAGCATCTGTGTGATGCAGTGGAATGTGGGCTTAGAGAAGCTGTCTTAGGCAGAAGTTCAGAGCTATGGATGAGGTGGGAGGGATGTGTGTGTGGGTGGGAAGAGGCAGGATTATAATTTCCTTCTGCCCATTCATGTCAGAGACACCTTCGTGTCTACTCTTCATTGGTACTGAAGTTAGGGACAAGAGGTGGCTTCGGATGGCCATGGACTCTTGAGCATCAAAGAGAAAAGAGAAGGAGAATTCTAAGTAAAAGTGATGGAAGGCCAGAGTGTTTGTTGTTGTTACGTAGGTCTGCCCCTCTTCTGAATGTGGTGTAAATAACACAGGAACCTCCTATATTCTGAAGCAAAGAAAGATTTATGGTGTCTTGCTTTCATTTCACAGAGTCCGTAACTAAAATTTGTAATGTTCTGAGTATATATATTTAGGAAGATGGGCTTCCCTTTTACCCTAATCTCTACTGAATTGTAAACAAGAGCGTTAACTATGTTATATTCCAAAGATGAACAGTATTGTGTGGAAACTATAAGGTTGCATAGTTGAAGTTGGTATTCCAAGCAAAGTAAAGTGTGTACCATGACGTATCTGTTTTGTTTTCAGGGGTTTGTTAAAGCTGTTTAGAACGAAAACTTTTCTGTCTTATTTTGATGTCTCAAAGGCCTTTAAAAATAGAGTGATTAGGGGCCGGCCCGGTGGCGTAGCGCTTAAGTTCGCACGTTCTGCTTCTCGGCGGCCCGGGGTTCGCCGGTTCAGATCCCAGGTATGGACATGGCACTGCTTGGCACACCATGCTGTGCTAGGCGTCCCACATATAAAGTAGAGGAAGATGGGCACGGATGTTAGCTCAGGGACAGGCTTCCTCAGCAAAAAGAGGAGGAGTGGCAGCAGATGTTAGCTCAGGGCTAATCTTCCTCAAAAAAAAAAAAAAAAAAATAGAGTGATTAGGATTGATGAATTTTCAGATTATTTTTGAGGATTATTTTAAAAATGAAAAAGTACAAATTGCCTTGATTAATCTCTAGGGATTAGAGTCTCTTCTATAAAGCTCTTGCCAGTTTTGGAACACCACTAAAACATCATTAATATTCAGAAAACACTTAATTTTATACCTCTGATTAAATAACTTGTATAATTTGAAATCCTATTTATTTTTTATCATAGAGAATAATAGATCTTGATTTATATTGATTACCTGCTAATTTTGATTTCTTTTCTCATGAAAATTAATGTTCTCAAGAAGAAAATTATATCATTTCACTGGAGAGCTGGGAACACAAATATTAACGTAGATAATCTTATTTGTATATCTTTGCAAGGATATTGTATAAGAAGTCCATAGGCTATAAAAAGCTTTAAGAAACTAAAAGAATCTAAGGATCTTAATATAAAAGAAAGGATATCTATTATCCTTTGTTTAGGTGCTTTATTTCCTTTCATGCCATTTTTCTTCTATTTGCCACAAGTAAAAATAAATTTTCCTAGTAACTTACATGCTTTTCCTCTTGAGCATTTATAGGCTTTAATACCAACTGTCTCTTTCGCTTTTTATTGCCATAGCTATTCAAGGTATTTAGCTCATATTAAAATACAGTGTATTTTTGCTTTATCTCTTTGAGGAATTCAATATATTATATGGACTTTACTTTCTGTTTACACTTTGCCTAGTAGGTAACATAAACTGAGCTCACTGTAGTTGTTCAGGGAATAACTGTTAAGTGATTGATGTCATCTTTTCTAAAAGGAAAATAATACCAATATTAAATAACTTCCCCCAAATTGCTAATGATTCCCTTTAAAATGCTTAGGAATACTTTACTCCTAGTCTAGCTCAGTTTAAGCAGGTTACACATCACCTAAAATATATTAGTAGTTTAATGAATTCCAAGCTGTATTATAGTAATGACTTTTCTCTTAAGCCTGAAAGTGTTACCATTCCATTTAGGAGAATACACCCTAAGTTATATTTGTTTTTAAAAGTTGTGTGACTATAACCAGGTGTCTCTCAATGGATGAATAGATAAAGATGTGATGTATATATATACAGTGGAATATTATTCAACCGTGAGACCATGAGAAAGAAGGAAATCCTGCCATTTGTGATAATTCATCTCGAGGGCATTATGCTAAGTGAAATAAGTTAGAGAAAGACAAATACTGTATGATACCACTTGTATGTGGAATCTAAAAAAGCCAGACTCATAGAAACAGAGAGTAGAGTGGTGGTTAGCCAGGGGCAGGAGGATGGAGGAAATGGGAGTTGGTGAAAGGGTATACACTTCCAGTTATGAGATGAATAAGTTCTGGGGTTCTCATGTACAGCATTTTGATTACAGTAATAATGCTTTATTACATACTTGAAAATTGCTAAGAGAGTAAACCTCAAATGTTCTCACCTCAAAAAATACTAATTATGTGATGGGATGGAGGTGTTTGCTAATGCTTTGGTGGTATCATTTTGCAGTATATAAATGTATCAAATCAACATGTTGTACACCTTTAACTTACACAGTGTTGGATGTCAATTACATCTCAGTAAAGCTGAAAAATAAAATCTGTGTGACTATAAAGAATAATATATAGTAAGATATTAAATACTAATAAGTTATTAATACTAAATGCTTGATTTTCCTCACCACCATGGGATTTACAACTTTTAAGTATTTAGTAATTGATAAATTAGGTTGATTTTGTTCATATAAGACAAGAACTTGGGAACTAGTGTGATCCCTATATTAAGAGATTGAGTTTAACTTTCATCAGTAGGCATGTGAAATACTAGTTTTTCACGTTACAAAATGTGTTTAAAGAAGAAGATCTTTCTGGTGTTACAAAGGTAATATCTGAAATAATCTGGGGAAATTTAGTCTATGTATTTACCAAGAAAACTGTTTAAATTCTAGAAGTAAAGCATTTGTAGCATATATTTATTTTCAGTAGTTTTAATTATAAAAACTTGGAAGAATAAATTATTTTAGTGAAATATTATGTCTTCTTGAAACCTTTGAGAAAAAAGTCACTTATTAATATCCAAAAACTAAAGAAATAAGTACTTAAAAATTGGTATTTATTTTTGTTCTCTTGCTTCTCTTCTCCTTTCCCCAAAGCAGATTGCCAAACTGAGGCAGCAACTACAACGTAGTAAACAGAGTAGTCGGCACAGTAAGGAGAAAGATCGTCAGTCACCTCTCCATGGCAACCACATAGCAATCAATCACACTCAGGTAGGCTAAGTTCTTGTCCAGATTTGAGTAATTCCTTTTAAAGATTCATTATATAGGGAGAATCCATCGTTTTAGGATTAAAAAAATTAATGACGTAAATCCCTAGTTCTACTAAATTACTACTGTTTATTAAATTGTTGTAAGAAGGTTTTTGGGTTTTTTGTTTTTTCAGCCTTATGTGTAATCTGCTTTTAATAAGAGACATACAGAGTGTCGGGGTCTCAAGGATGATTGATAGTGGCCTGGGCTGAAATCCTAGCTCATTCGCTTGTTAAGCAACTATGAGCATTTTCTCATTTAATCTTCCTAATAGTACCTTCACCTATCTATCTCTGTATTTCTTTAAATATTTTACCCCTAGTTTACATATGAAGAAATTGAGAATTAGAGTTTTGTTGGGTTTTTTTCCCCTCCTGGAACATGAACTAAACATATCTCATGGGACAAAATTTGAGAAATGCTGTTGTGGACCAAATTCACATATAAATGTTTATGTAAACTTTCATAAATCAAATATAGTAGTATAGCAGAAGAAACGTAAGCAGTGTATCAAAACAAATCCAAGTTGAGGTTTCACAATTGTAAAAATGTATTCATTTAGTTCATTGCATCTGAAGGTCAGAGTAGGTGCTGAATAACACTTAATAAATACTCAATATCCATGGAGCTGGCCCCGTGGCCTGGTGGTTGAGTTCAGCATGCTCCACTTCAGCAGCCTGGCTTTGCAGGTTCAGATCCTGGGCACGGATCTATACCATTTGTCAGCCATACTGTGGTGGTGACCCACAAACAAAAAATAGAGAAAGATTGGCACAGATGCTAGAGCAGGGCAAGTCTTCCTCAGTAAAAAAACCAAACAAACCTCTCAGTATCCATATGTAATAAGACTTATGTAACTAAAAATAGGACACTTCCTAATGTGACCGACTGCAAATGTAGTGAAATCCTAACAAAGAAATATTGGAAAGCTTTCTGTTAAAATAGAAATCAAGGGGCTGGCCCCGTGGCTGAGAGGTTCAGTTCTCGCGCTCCCCTGCAGGCAGCCCAGAGTTTCATTGGTTCGAATCCTGGGCGCGGACATGGCACTGCTCATCAAACCACGCTGAGGCAGCGTCCCACATGCCACAACTAGAAGGACCCACAAGGAAGAATATACAGCTATGTACTGGGGGAGTTTAGGGAGAAAAGGGAAAAAAAATTTAAAAAATCTTAAAAAAAAAAAAATAGAAATCAAGTCATAGATGTCTGTAATTACTGATATTATTTGCTAGTAGTTTACAGGCTCTAGACAGAGTAATAAGAAAAAGGAATAATTATCACTATTTGCATATGATATTGTTGTATATTTAGAAAATTAAAATGAATGAACTAAACTATTAAAACTAATGATAGGATAGCTAAAATGGAAGATACTGACAGTACCAAGTGTTAATGAAGATGTGGAACAACTAGAAAGAACAGCCACACATTGCTGGTGGAAACACAAAATGGTATAGCCTCTTTGAAAAACAGTTTGGCATTTTCTTAAAAAGTTAGACATACGTTGACCACACAGCCCAGAAATTCTACTCTTTGGTATCGAAAAAAATAAAAACGAATGTCCACACAAAGACTTGTACCTCAAGGTTCATGGAGACATTATTTGTAAGAGTCAAAAAATGGAAACAAACAAATATATATCAATTGGTGAGTGGATAAACAACATTTCATACATCCATTCAATGTAATACTATTCAGCAGTAAAAAGGAAGAAACTACTGATACTTAGAACATGGTTGAGTCTCAAAAACATCATATTAGGTGAAAGAAGTCAGGCGCAAAAGACTACATATGTATTATTCGTTATATTAAATTCTTGAAAAGGCAAAATTATACAGACAAAGTATTATGGGTAGGAATTGACTGTAGAGAGGCCCTATGGAATTTTTGGGGAATAATGGAAGCTTCTAAAATATGATTATACTGATAATTGGATGACTATATATTTATAAAGCTCAATGAGCTGCATACTTAAAATGAGAGGATTTTATTGTAAGCCAATTATACCTCATCAAAACTGTAAAACAAACTTGCAGTTGGAAAACAAGCCTCAGACATTTCAAGTGAAAATTCATATATGCCTTCCTTTTTTTTTGTAATCTGATAGAATTAATATATTATTATTCTATTTCAAGCGTCTTTCCTGTAAGAGTCCAATGCATTTATAATAGATCTGTTGACTTGCTGACTTACACTTGTTGCCAATTTACGTTTAATATTTTGGCATTTTGGTTATGCATAAAAATAATTATCTTTTGCTATATATATACTGAAATATTTGTAGGTAAAATATGAAGTCTAGAATGTGCTTTAAAATACTCCAAGGAGACGGAAAAAAATGGATGTTTAGATGAGACAGGATTGGCAAATGTTGCTAATTTTTGAAGCTGGATGATGTGCGCCTGAGGGTTCATTATACTATCCTGTGTAATTATGTTTATGATTATAATTTTTTATAATGAGAAAAAACTGAGAACTTAATGAGATGATTAGATAAAATATAGACACATAAAAATCAGTAGTTTTCTCTTATGCTAGTAAAGGTAAACTACTGTGCCCTCTACTTAAAACACTTCTGACACCAAATCTCTGGGTTTTTTCCTCACCCCTGTCATTTCACCAACTCTCCAGACACCAACTGTGTATCCTACAATTCAGTTATAACACTAACTACCTGGAGTTAGCACAGACCCCACGGCTTAAGGGCTCAGCCCCACAAGACTGCCCCACCCCCGCCCCTGCAGACATCAGTTGCAAGTCCCAGGTTGTCGTCTGTACTTCTGACTAACTGGCTATAAGGAGAAGATTCTTACAACCTCTTCTTCAAGTTCAGTAATTTGCTTAACAGCTCACAGAACTCAGAGAAACACTTAACATTTACCAGTTTATTATAAAGTATATAGTAAAGGATACAGATGAACAGCCAGATGAAGAGTTACATTGGGCAAGGTCTGGAAAGGTCCTGAGTGCAGGAGCTTCTGTCCCCTTGGAGTTGCAGTGTGCCACCGTCTGGCATGTGGATATGTGTTCACCAGCCTGGAAGCTCTCTGAACCCATCGTTTAGGGATTTTTATGGAGGCTTCATCACATAGGCATGACCGCTTATTAACTCAATCTCCAGTCCCACTTCCCTACCCAGAGAATGGGGAATGAGACTGAAAGTTCCAATCTTCTAATCATGCTTTGTTCTTTCCGGTGACTTAACCCCCATCCTGAAGCTATCCAGGAACCCACCAAGAGTCGCTTCATTAGAACAAAAGACTATTGCTCCTATCCCCCAGGAAATTCCAAGGGATTTAAGAGCTCTGTGTCAGAAACCAGGGTCAAAACCAAATATTGGAACAAGAGATGCTCCTAGCACCCCTATCACTCAGGAAATTACAGGAATTTTAGGAACTTTGTGTCAGGAGCCAGGGGCACAAACCAGATATATATTTCTTCTTATGTCACAACTAGCAATAACATGTTAGTATATATAATGAAAACTATTAAATGCCTAAATTAAACTTAAATTTGCAAGCTATAAGACTTTGTTGAGGATATGCAATATAAAATAGAGATGTAAATGGGCAGTCTTAACGTATTCATGCATGGGAAGACTCGGTATTTTTCAAATAGTATTTTACCCAAAATTAGTGTACAAATTGAGTTCAATGGAAATTTAAAAGGAATTGTTTTATTATTTGAAAAGTTGTTTTCAAAGGTCATATGGAAAATTAATGCCAATTAATAGAGAAGAAAATTTGGAAAGGCTTTCCCCCCAAGATACCAAAATATACTATAAAATTATAGCAATTAAAGTGGAGCTCACTATAGGGATTATCAGCTAGCAGTTCAAGAAAATCAAATAGAGAATCCGTAAAGAAATGTTAAGGCAGTTTGATTATTATGTGCATGAAAAAATACTAACTCAGACCATACACAAAAATAAAACATGGATAGGTTGTGTTTATGAAAAACCATAAAAGTACTTAAAGAAAGGTATTTGATACTAAAGTAAACAGCAAATGTATGACAAAGAGTTGCAACTTTAATATGAACAAAACTGGTGCATCAGTAAGAGACAAAGTACATTAGCAGACAGCAGTTCACAGATGGCAGGAACAGAGCACTGAGTATGGGAAATATTATTCATGTGTTCATCAGTGATTAGCAATACACCTCATTATGAATCATATATATCAACTTTAATCATTCAGAATAAGATAGATTGTATACTGTTTTTATTTTTTGCCTTGTTCATCTGTATTTTTCTTATTTTCTTTCTGTTGTGTAAGTTCCTTGAGAATCAAAAGGCTTGTCTTACACTTTTTGGTACCCACCACAACAACTATGAGAGGTAGTTAATTTTTAAGAACTCCTCCAAAGGACTTTTGAAAACAACCTTAAAGTTTGTTAAGTCACTGTTGTTGAACTTAACATGGTATTGTTGCCGCATTACTTAGTAATCCAAAAGGTTTTCTTAAGTGATTGACAAAACGGAAATGAAAAATACTGGAAGGTAATTGTCAGTGCAAGAAATAAATCTTTTAAATACACACACACGCACATATACACAGAACTGTATACTGAAGTCACATGATAGACTTACATGATTTCAACTATGCTTTTTCAGTAAAAACCAAAAAGAGAAAAAAATTTAAGCAGTGCAGAAGATTCTTTCTGCCATTCTACTGAAAAAGTGTATACATTATACAGTTATACCTTTACACTTACATAAAGGATTCTTTTGACTATGTAATTTTTACCTTACTTCCTTACTTTAGGACCTAAATTTCAGTATGTGTATCTGAGTTGATACTGTATTTGAAATGTCAAAGTAACTCTGCTCATTGAGTTTCTATTTTCAGGTTTACCATGCTCTTTAATTCTTGATTTCTTTGACCACAAATAATTTGACACCACCTTATCTTCTGTTTCGTAGGCTACTGGTTCAAGATCGGTCCCTATGCCACTGTCAAATATATCAGTGCCAAAATCATCTGTTTCACGTGTGCCCTGCAATGTAGAAGGAATAAGTCCTGAATTAGAAAAGGTATTCATTAAAGAAAATAATGGGAAGGAGGAAGTATCCAAGGTAAGATTACATGGGATGTCTGAATCCTTTTTTTCTTCACTATTGTGAACTATCTCAAAAGTCGTCTTTTGGTAACAGTTTTATTAGATATAATTCACATACTATACTATTTACCCATTTAAAGTGTACAGTTCAGTGGTTTTTAGCATTTTCACAGAGTTGTGCAACGATCACCACAATCAATTTTACAGCATTTTCGTCACCCCAAGAAGAAACTCCATACCTTTAGTAGTCATCGCTGATTTTCCTCCAATGCCCCCAACCCTAGGCAATACTAATCTACTTTCTGTCTATGGATTTGTCCATTCTAGACATTTCATATAAGTGGAATCGTGCAATATGTGGCCTTTTGTAATTGGCTTTTTTCACTTAGCATAATGTTTTAAGGTTCACGTATGTTGTAACATGCATCAGTACTTTATTTTTTTTTATTGCCACATGATACCCAATTGTAAGAATGTTGTTTATGCAGTCATCAGTTGATAAACATTTGTATTGTTTCTACTCTTCAGCCAATATGAATAATGCTACTACGAAATTTATATACAAGTTTTCATGTGAACATAATGTTTTCATTTTTCCTGGTTATATACCTAGAAGTGGAATTGCTGGTGTGGTAACTCTTTGTTTAACCTTGTGAGAAACTGCCAAACTTGTTTTCCAAAGTAGCTGCACCATTTTGCCTTCCCACTAGCGATGTGTGACGGTTCCAATTTCTTCATCTTCATCAGCACTTGTAGTTATCTGTTTTTTATTATAGCCATCCTTGTGGGAATAAAGTGGTATCTCCTCCTGGCATTGATGTGCCTTTCCTGATGGCTGATGATGTTAGACATCTTTCCATGTGCTAATGGCCATTTGTATGGATATTCCAGTTTTCCTTGGAAAATTGTCTATTTAGATCCTGTGCCCCATTTTAAAATTGGGTTATTTGTCTTTTCTTATTGAATTGTAAAAGTTCTTTATAAAGTTCTTTATTTTCTCACTAAAAGTCCCTTATTAGATACATAATTTGAAAATAAATCCCCTTCTGTGAATTATCTGTTCACTTTTCACTTTCTTGATGATGTCCTTTGAAGCACAACATTTTTAATTTTGATGAAGTCTGATTTACGTTTTTCTCTTTTGTTATTTGTACTTTTGGTATCATATCTAAGAAACCATTGCTTAATCTGAGGTCACAATGATTTATTCTTGTGTTCTCTTCTAATAGTTTTATAGTTTTAGCTTTCTCTTATATTTAGGGCTTTGATCTATTTTGAATTAATCAAAACTACTTTATAAATTACCTCTCTCTCAGAAAAAAAATCGGGACAATACTGCATTGGAACCTATATTTGACTACATTTTAAAGGTATACTCAACAAAATAAATCATGAAGTAGCCTTTGGCTTAATTAGTTCTCGGTGTGTTTTTGGAAATAAAATTATTTAATTTATGTCAAGTGTGTATCTGATTCCTTCAAATATTGTGTAGTTTAAAACTTATTTAGAGTTATCTCAAAATCCAAACAATTCAATTTTATATTTAGAAAATTTTTTTAAAAAGTGTCTTCTAACTCTCAGTATTGCTTAGCAGATATGAGCATTATTCATAGTTTCCTGTATACCCTTGCTGATATGTGTGTGTGTATGTTGATATATACTGCATCATTGTATAAATGGACCGTAATTTAGAAGTTCCCTATTGATGAGTGTTTAGATTGTTTTCAGTTTTTGTTATCATAAGCAGTGCTTTAGAAAACATTGTGTGCTCTTGCAGTTCCTGGCAGTAAAATTGCTGGGTCAAAGCATTTGTGCATTTTCAATTTTGATGAATATTGCTAAAATTACCCTCCCAAAGGTTGTGCCATTTTTACTCTTCCTAGACATTTCATGTTAAACTTTTATTTTGTATTTGTTATGCCATAGAAGAACCCTCTGGAAATAATGCCATCTCTTAGCTGTTACCATTAAAATGTTTCCTTTGTACGTTAAGTAATGTTTAAAAACAGTTAGTGTAAGGAAGTGAAATTAATTCTAATTTCTAGTTAGAAGTCTAAATTTTTGAGGATAAGATAGTCACATATTTGCTGATTCCTTAAGAACTTCAAAGCACCAAAATATAAAACCTATAACATAGTTCTGCTTTTAAGTAAGTCATATTCGAATTTCATAGTAGCCGTTTCAGAATTATTCTGGAGTAACCTGCACACTTATAACTAAAATTAATTCTTAGAATTTTTATATTTATGATTCTGTGCCTCAAAGTTTTAATAAATCAAAATGTCACCATTAGTGAATCTGCCAGAAGCTAAAAGAAGAAAATTTTCTTAAGTATATCGATGTTCTAAACCTTTATATTTCTCATGTTATTTTGTGTAAGTATGTAAATTTCTAAAATCCATTTTGTTATTTTAATTTTTCTAACCTTACTCCCCCTGAAAAGAAAAGTTGGTTAGGGAAATTGATACATATTATCCAGTTACAGATTAAGAAATGGGAATACAGAAAGATTATGTTTTTCAAGTAGTACATGAATGAAAGATAGCTAAAACTCTTCAACTTTTTTTAGCTACGCGTTGATACATTATTCTTTTACTGATTACCAATATTGACACTTTTATTAAAGTTTTTCTTGACTTAAATATCTAAGTTTTAAGAAATACCTCTGTCATGAAGCCCTCAAATGTGTTTTTCAAAGTGATCTTTCTTTATGTGTTGCCCTGAGGACCTCGTACATCTTATACCATCATTCAGTTTTGTCCAAAAAGAAAGCTGCGCCAATGCTTTTTTCTTTGGTCCAAGATTTAGTGCAGAGTTGTAATTAAAATTTAAATTTAGTTAAAATAAAAAAATTTTAAATAATAGAAGTAATATTTTCCTATTGGTTAACCAATTAATATTCCTTTGGAAATAGTTCTTTCCTAAATTTGGAAAGTATTACTTTTTTTATTTGTTTATGAAATGAGCTAATGTTTACATAATTGAATATCCTATTTATAGGGTAGTAGTCATTGTCAGATTGTGAAGATGATATAGTTTTGGTTTAACAGAATTGCATAGGTACAAAGTTTTTTATTTCAGTAGTTAAAAATTTCCACCTTCACTTGTTATAGAAAAAATTGAGGCATTTTGAATCTTGCCTAATTTTATCTTAACTCCATTTTCCCTCTGAAAGTGTTTCTAAAAACTGAAATGACGAAGTTCAGAGTAAGAGCAGTAAATAGTGAAAATAAGTGGTAAACACACTGAGTATATTGATTCTTTTTCCAAGCATTGCAATCTTGTCTATGTAATAACAAAAATGTTTTAAATGATTAATATAGAGAATTTTATATGTTGACTTTTAGCACACAGATGAGGAAAATGGAGTAAAATCTATTTTCACAGCAGAAGCAGAGTAGAAAGAGTCTATTGCAGCAGAAGCTCTGATTATCCATATCACCGGGAGCTCTAATCTATATATTCTCTATTTGTAAAGATGTTGGACTATGAGCTCTAAGGTCTTCTCAGGTTCAAACTATATGATTCTATGATTATAGTTTCATTTCTATTTCTTATTTTTGCCACTCAGAACAATGCATAGAACTAAGCAAAATTATGAGTAGTCCTACTCAGGTGAATGCCAAATTGGTAGAATTGTTCTGAGTTATGTTTATATCCTCTATTGAGTACTAACAGAATAAACCTCTTTATTAGAAATTCTGGGTATTTGCAAAGGAAACAGAAAACATGATTCTGTTCCTGGCCTCTAACAAATTAAAATAAGAAAGAATGAAGAAACAAAAATTCGTACCTGTGAATTTGAGATTTCACTTTTTTTGCTAGCAAGTCAAAGTGATTTCTTGAACAGTTCAATTAATTCATTCAGGAAATGTTTACTGAATGTCTGTTATGTGCCAGACCCAGTGCCGCATTAGGGATACAGTGTTAAAAGAAGCTCCTGTGCTTGAGGAGTATTAGGGGAAGTGTTAACCTACAGATACGTACAGAAAGCTATGGAATTTTTAAGACAATTTATCCTTAGTATTTTTAAACCTAACTACTCTGGAATTTGAAAGAAATTTTTTGTTAATAAAGGTAACGTAGAAATTAGCTTAAGACACAAGATTGGTATCTCTATTCTCTAAAGAATCAGTTATGGTGATGATAGCAGTGGAATATGAAATCAAAGGAAATGCCATGTGCTTTCTATGTGAATTGAGTATTTGCTTTGTCCTTTACATGTTTGATGGTTGTCCTTTTTACAGCCTTTGGATATACCAGATGGTCGAAGAGCCCCACTCCCTGCTCACTACCGGAGCAGTAGCACTCGCAGCATTGACACTCAGACCCCCTCTGTCCAGGAACGCAGCAGTAGCTGCAGCAGTCATTCACCCTGTGTGTCCCCATTTTGTCCCCCGGAATCCCAAGATGGTAGTCCTTGCTCAACAGAAGATTTGCTCTATGATCGTGATAAAGGTGAGAATGAAATCATCCACTTAGACACAGGGTTTGTTCAGGGCCTTGCTCATTGTACTTTCTGTCTTAGACCATTACATCACTTTTTTTCTTTTGTTGAATGGTGGGATTGTAAATAATTGATTAATCTAGGTTTGTTTGTTCATTGGTTTTCACGTACCCCCTTCTTTGTGACTCTCACAAACATCTTCCATAAATGTGTCAGAGAAGCACAGCGCATGGTTCTAACAGCTAATGAAAGCTATAAAATGGAATGTGTACAGCTTCACATATAACACACAGGTTTTTCCTTGGTATTGTCCAGAGCTAGTGATGGTTATGGTAGAGTTTATATTTCTCATGCCTGAAGTTAGATTTTGTAATCAGATTGATTTAGGAGGAAATAATTTCTAAAAATTCTGTTGGAAGAATGAGTATATTTTTAACCAAGTAGATAAAGCTTAATAAGTACCTACAGGAGATCAGGGAGTATATTATAGTATATAGATGAATTATTAACTAACACCAATAAAAGGGAAGAACCTCTGGGATTTCTTGTTACCTGCCAGGCACAAACTGTCTCCGCATGTTCTCCTGCCCCCATGTCAGGACTTGCCTACCACTGTTCACTCTCTCCTTTCAGTTTCTGGGCCCCTCAGACCTAGACGTGGAAGGCAACAAAGACTGCCCAACTTCCACCTTCCTAGCTACTTTCAAAGAAACAGTGAACATTTACTACTTCTCAGCGTAGAAAATTGGATCATAGGCAATAAAAATTTAAAAACAGAAAAATTAAAGTTTACAGAATCTTGTAGGATTTTTATGGTCTTTTTCCTAATTTGACCACTACTCCCCTTAATTTGTTTTATTTTGAGATATTATTACGTGTAAAATGCCCAGATTTTAAGTGCTCAGCCGAGTGGATTTTTTACATATGTATACACTCATGAAACCACTACCTAGATGGAGATAGAGAACTATTTTAGCATCCCAGAAGGCTCCCTCGGTCCCTTTCCCCTCTCCACCTGGAAGTAACCACTGTTCTGACTTCTGTCATCATAATCTAGTTTTTCCCTCTTACTGGATTTCATGGAAATGGAGTTGCGTATTGTGTAGTCTTTTGTGTCTAGCTTCTTTCACTCATTATGCCTAACATTCTGCTGAAATGTTAAATGGAAGCTGCTTTAAACTTTGTCCTCTACTTTTATTTTTATGGGTGGATCTCACCAGTTCTTCCCTTTCTTTTCACCCTTTCATTATTAAAAGCCTTTTGAACTCCCTTCCTCCGTTAAGGATGCATTGAAGGCAGTCCTTAGGCATCCCTTTGCTTCACGTGGAAAGTCTCCATTTTGTAGATGTCAGGCTAGGGAACTTTCATTTCACTGGGCATCCTACCGGAGCAAACACCTTTAATCACTGCCTCACAACATTGTGACTATGGATGTTTCACAGTTGTTAACAGGAAAACACCTTGCTTCTAGTAGGAATATTTGTTTTGAAGGTAAATGGAAACATTAAATAATAGTAGCTTGTTTTAGGCTTCATAGGTAGTAAATGGCGAAACAGGCCTGTCTGATTAATTACAAAACCCGTATTCTTTGTTATACCAGTGGAAAGGATAAGTGTAGTTCAAAATGACCACTTTTGCTACTTATTAGCACTTGTAATTGGGTTAAAGTGAGAAGTAAAAAGAACAATGATAGTAAGGCTAGGCAATTAATTCTGGAGTTTTGTTTTCTTCTTTCTAAGTTTAATACTGTGGATTTTTGAGAGAAGCTGAACCAAAAAGGAAATATATTAGGAAGATGATAGATGAGTTCTATTTTGGTTAACTGGTTGTGAGATCGCCTTCAGGGCCTCTAAGTGACTATATTCGATGAGGCAGATAAATATGTGGTTTGTGCAGTTCAGAGGAGGAACTCACTCAAGTCCTAAGTTTCAAACATTATGTTCTTTAATACCTCTTTTTCCCAAAGGTTTGTATTCTGTTTTATTATAAGAAGGTGTATATTCATGTCACTCTCCTGCAAGGTCTTTTGCAGGAGACTTTAGAACACCAAAGTTAAGAGCAACACTGAATTTCACACACAGGAATGCATTTCTGTCCTGTAAAGTTTGGGACATAAAACTTGTATTAATTCCCCAAGGATTCAGTAAATGGTAGCTGGTGCTATAAAAACATCATCATTATTATTACTCGTTAGCTTCTCAGTGCCTTCAGGAAAAATACAAACTATTTACTTTTCCTCTGCAACTTAGCCAAAACTTCCTCTCTGGCCTAATTTCTGCTAATTATGCAGTAATCTGAATTCTTTTTTTTTTCCAGCTTTGTTAAGATATAATTGATATATAACATTATATAAGTTTAAGGTGTACAATATGGTAATTTAATACAATGTATTTATTGTGAAATGTTTACCACAATAAGATTAGCTAACTCATCCTTCACCTCACGTAATTACCATTTTGTTGTTGTTGTTGTTATTGTTGTTGTTATTGTTATGGTGAGAACGTTAAAGCTCTACTCTCATAGCAACTTTCAAGTATTGGATACAGTATTAACTATAGTCACCATGCTGTAAGATCCCCAGAGCTCATTCGTCTTATAACAAAGTTTCTACCCTTGACCAATGTCTCCCTATTTCCTCAGACCCTGGCAACCACCATCCTACTCTCTGTTTCTAGGAGTTTGGTGTTTTTAAGATTCCACATAGAAGTGAGATCATAGAGTGTTTTCATGTGTCTGGCTTATTTCACTTTATGTAATGCCCTCAAGATCCACTCATGTTGTGGCAAATAGCAGGATTTCCTTCTTTTTATGGCTGAATAATATTCCTTTGTATGAATGTACCACATTTTCTTTGTCCATTCATCTGTCAGTGGACATTTAGGTTATTTCCATGTCTCGGCTATTGTGAATAATACTGCAGTGAACATGGGCATGCAGACCTCTTCCAGGTAGTGTAATTGTCTGAATTCTGACCATTTCTAAGGCTTTGCCGTTTTTGTATATTTTCTTCTATGCCTTTTTATTCTTCCATACCAGACATCTGCCTGCATAACATAAATATCTTCTTTTTCTTCTGTTCCTCTTGGGTTTTTTTTGTTTTCTTTTTAATGTAAAATGAGAAAATTGGTCCAGACTTTCTCTTAGGTCAACAGTTTTTTTCTGATGGTTAAAAAATATTTTTTAGTAAAATAGGGTGATAATACCTACCTCATACCATTGGGGTTAAATGAGATATTACAGCAAAGTGCTTGACACAACTCTTGGTATATAGTGAACTGTCAATAAAAAGTGTGAGATGTGGCTAATAGTGATTTTTTTTTAAATCTCTTTAGAAATTATGGAGATCTCAGAATTACTTAAGACATTTTTCTGTTTTCTACATTATTTAAGACTACCTCAGTTTGGAAATTAAAACTTCATGACACGAGTTTCTTAACATATCTACTATATTTAGCTTTGAGGCATTACTTTGTGATTAAGATGATGTTGAAGTTACTATTCCCTAAAAAAATGTGTGACCTTCTATTACAGTGTGAAGTTTTTAGTTCTCAAACAAATCAGCTGCCATCTTTGTGAAGAGAAAATTAAAATAGCATCTATCTCTTTTATATATGTATATATATGTGTATACACCTAAGTATATATTTTATGTATATATGCACACATACACAGTATACACATGTATATATTTTACGATTGGGAGTGGAGATTTACATATTTCAAGTGAGTTTATACTTCTGGTTTATTTAAGATACATTTGTTGAGCATCAACTGTGCGTCAGCTACTCTACTAGAGAATGGAGAAAGAGAAGACTGAGATGTGATACCTGTTTTTAAGGAATTTATAGTCATAGGGAGTAATAGTTATGTAAAATAATATGCTATTAGACAAATATGTTCAGAATACTAAAGGTACAAAGCAGGGAGTTGTCAGTTTTGCAGTTTCTGAAACTTACATATGTTAAGTCATTCAAAATATAGAATAGTCTTTGACTCATTACTCCTCTATGTACAGTCCAAATTCTGTTTTTTTAAAATACTAATTCTATCTTATAATTTGCATTTTTCCACAATAAAACATAAATTGATCTTTTGTCTCTTTATATTTATTTCTAGTAAAGAAAAAAACAGAAGCTGTAGATTTCTAACAGGTTTGCATCATTAACTATGAAAACAGAATTGCTACTTAATTTTGTAGTCAACTAGGATCAATTTAGAGAACCTACCTATTCTGCAGTTGCTATAGAGAAATTTGTTCTGTAGTAGAATAGCTAGTTCAGATGTCCTTAGGCACCTGGATGGGCATGCACAGGAGGAGAGACAGGAGAGATAGCCATAGGAATATATGCTCTAACGAGAGATGTGCTGGTAAGCTGATGATTTTTCTAGTACTCATCTGTTATATACTTATCCTTTTCCTGACTTTGCTAACATTATTTCTGCCTGTTCCTGACATTACTGTTCTCCATGAATCATGTATAATTTGAGACCTATAAAATAGTTTTACTTGATTAGGGTATTGGTTTTTTCTTTGGCTATTTTAATTGCGATGCCAGGACAAAAATACTCTGACTATTGAGAAAGGTCCAGCCATTAAGAGACTATTTTCAGATCTAGGAGTTTTCTTAGGTTTTTTTGCCAGGTTTTACCGATGACCTAAAGACTGAAGGCAGCTTGGTCACATGTGTAAAGGTGCCATGCTAACTAAGCCAAGAACAGCCACCGTTCCTACATTATCATCTGTTTGGAGAATTCAGGGATCCAGAATGAGAGGTCTCATCTTGACATCCTCAGAATATACCCTAAGAATTAGCCCAAATTCTTCTACATTGCTAGGGAGAAAAACAGTCATTTATATAATACAGATGACAGTGTCAAAATATTAGTTGTTTTAGCAGCTCTGCCAGTGTTCCTTGATGGTAGCCAAACTAGTTCTGGGCAAGCTACAAAATCTAGACTTCAGTCTGCCTCTTATAGTTGATCTTTGGCACAATTCACTTAGGCAGTTGTA